CCAGCAAGGACCTGCAAAGCCCGACATGCAGAAGGACTCTCAGGTGCTTGAGTTTGGACTCTTTTATTCACCAGAATGGCCACTCCAGCTCGTACAGGAGAATTTGCTGAGACATGTGAGTGAAGAGAGAGACTGTGTAGGGTGTGGCCAAGGGCAGTGAGCACATATGTTGCTGAACACAACTACATTTTGGAGAGGGCAGCATGTAAACTTGTTTCTGCAGAAACTCATCCTTGCCTTGGGAATCCTCTCTGGGTTAACCAGAAGCATCCAAGTTGGAAAACTTGATGTCTGAATCTCTCCTGCAGTCTTGCCAGCTCTGGGGTGTGACCTAAGACATCTCTGCAACCCTTTTCCTAAGAGCAGCATTGCAAAAGAGCCCCACTGGATAACTCAGGAACCAAGATTTAATTCCACTTGTGTAAGCAGTTTAATCTACCAGGCAAGAGGTGATATTTCATCCCTCTTCCTTGAGGGACCTGGTATGCTTCTAAACATGTGCAAATGCCTTGGATACTTCAATAATAATGGATAAATGGCAGCCTGGCTTAAAACAGATCTTGCAAGACAAGTGTAATTGCTTCCACTGGGGACAGATGAACGATGCCTAAAATGGCCCGGGAGCCCTGAGGAGTATTAGTTCAATAAATGCAGTGAGGCGGTGAGAGGCATGAGAAACTGACTGCCCCAGTGGCACAGGTGGAGCTCAGAAGAGATGAGGGTCCCCCGTGGGGCAAGACATCTACCTCAAAGGGCTCACAAAAGGGATACAGGAAGCCTGCATGTTTACCTGGAGGAGGTGGGACTGGGTCCCCTTCTCTTTCCTCCTGGTTTTCCTCCAGGCTCTGCTCGTCCCACTTCTCATGATGAGGGCACCGGAGAAATAATGGCAGAGGTGGAGCTGTGTCTGCCTCCCTGGCTCCTGCCTGGCTGTTGGATGGTGCCGCTCCTGAGCCGTGCCCTGTGGGCTCTGTCTGGAGCTCACCCCTGCGCAGGGAGCAGCGAGCCCTGCCTGCCTGATGAGGTCTGGTGGCTTTTTTTAAGGAGGAGCCTGTTTTCAGACAGTCAGGAGGGACAGACACCCCCTCGCACCACCCACAAAGCAGGAGATGAGAGCTTGGTTGGAAAGATACAGAGACTGGAGCGGGGGAAGGGGAATCTTCAGGGACTGCCACTGACACATTGGCAAAACAAGTGGGAGATTCAAAAGGGAGACTGGGATGGGATGGAGAGGCCATAGGCACATTTTCTCGTAATGATGGGCTGCAGAAGGAAGACAGGTGAAAGAGAAGCACTAACACTGGTGGAGACTCCTTGGGCCAAAGCAGGAGCCTGGCAAAGGCTTGATCCTGCCAGCCATGCGGTATCAAGCTCTGGCTGTTCTCTGGACTCCGTGGTGTTATCTTTACTCCTGGAAAGAATGAGGCTAGCTTCAAACTTGGAGACAGATCACTTACACCCAAAGCACAGGAGTTGTTTTAAAACCACATTAACCATGTTGGTAATTTGGGGAGTTTTCCACCTTCTTTTTGTTTCCCGTCCTCACTACATGTAACAAAATTGGCTTTAAACAAGGTTTCAGAACAGGAATGGCGCCACAGTTGTTCAGCAGCTGTGTAGTGCCTGTTGGAAAGCCGTTCTTTGCCCTCCCTTCTTGGCTTCAGCTGGGCTTGTTCCTGCTCTGCTTTCCTTCTGGATTTGTTCCTTTTGGGTTTTCCTTATGTTTGAGCTCCCTTCTTTCAGGCTAGGGCATGTGTTTTCCAAGGGTCAGCCTGGAGCCAGAGGTCACAGTCTCTTTGGTATTTAAACTTAGCCATCGATTTTGTAACTCTTGGGGGAAAAGAAGAACCAACCTCGGTTTGGCATTTCTTGCAGCCCTCTGTCTCTCAGCTGTGAGAGCCTCTCGCTCTGTGTTTTGCACAAGCTGCCTGAGTGCTCTGGGCCCCTTGCTAGGCTGTCCCTGCTGTCCTGCTGGGGACAGGAGTAAACTGAAAGTGTGGGGCAGCTTCTGGCATTCCCATTCCCACAGCTGTGTCAGCCAGTGAACACCATGTCCCGCTGGCCTGGGTGAGGCCACAGGACAGGTCTCAACCTGTTCCATGCCAGGACACCTGAAATACTTGTGACCTGGTGAACACCCCTCCCATGCAGGGTGACAAGTCGTCCTTTGGCGCTAAAGCGCTGCTGGATCAGTGTGATCAGATGGAAAAACGCAACCGTGAGCTCCTGCCCTCTGAGCAGGGTAGAAACTCCAGCTCACAGACAGCTGGAGGAGCAGCCTGGTAAACACAGCCACGTGAATGTGTGATAAGGGAGCACTTGCACCCGGACATGTTCCCCGGGCAGACCCTTTGCCCAGAGCTGTTAACCACCCTGCCATATGGCGAGCCCCTCTCCGCACACTCCTGTGTTGCAGCGTGACCCTGAGCTGCCAACCTGGCGTGTTTGCTGCCAACTCGGGTTTGCTACTGAGGCAAAGTGCAAAGGCACCTCTTGCATCACTGGGGAGGGGGGGGCAGGCTGGGCTGTCCCTGCCAGCAGCAGCACCGCAGGCCCCAGTGGCACGACTGGGTGCTGTGGCACTGGCAGGAGAACCCAGGCATAGCCATGGCAGCTTCAGCCACAGCAAGTGCATTCCTGCAGCGTTACTGTACTCAAACTGTGTCCTTGCTTAGCATGGCTCTTTCAGAAGCTGATCAAAGCCCAAGCTTGCACCCCAGCAAGGCTGAGCAGCCCCCAGCAGCACACCAGGGTACAGTCCAAGCCTCCTTTGTGCTGCAAAGCACCAGGCATGCACAGGAGGCTTTTAACGTCCAAGGACCAGCTGCAATCCAATTTCCCATTGCCTGTAAATGAAGTAGACTAGCTTTGCAAAATCAAAATACTCCTAGGAAGCAGAAGCTGGTACTTCCAGATGAGATTGGTCTCATCCAAGGGGAAGGCAGTTTGCCTTTGAAACAGCCAAAATCCTTCTGCATTAAAGGCCCAGCTCACCTCTCAGTGAAAGCACTGACATATCACCTGTTTATAAGGCAGCTTTGAAATTAACTGTTTATGTAACTTATTAAAAATACATTCGCACACCTTTTTATTATTTTCTTCCCTACCAAAGAAATTGGTAAGACAGGGTTTCAGGTGAGCTCTGATAGCTGGTTGCCGCTGCAGGGTGCAGAGGGGTCAGATGTGGTGGCAGCATATGGACTCAGCGCCCCTCTGCACTGCTTGCTGGGCACTGCAGGAGCATCCCTGTGCCTTGCTGCACACACAGACCTCAGGCTCAGTAATGCAGTGCCCTGTTCTTCAGACAGCATTACACCTCTTTAGCCCCCTGGTTAATGGTTAGACTTATATTGCAGCAGCTGGCTCCCCAGCCCAGCTGTGGAAAGAGTCACAGATTTTAAATATTGGATTTTCTAATCTTGCCCTTTGGACCTGTTTTTGCTGTGGCTGTTGGTAAACAGTGTGCTCCTAAGGCTGCTATGAAATCATGTGTGGGCTGCTGCATCCCTAAGCGGGTACATCTTTGTAAGTTTTACAAGAGCAGTGTTTGGTGTAAGTTGGCATGTATGGCTCAATGCAGGAGACTGACGTCAGCTCAGTTTGGTGTAGATTTGCCACCTGATAGAAGTCCTGGTGACAAGGGGCCTGGAGAGGTCTCAGATTCAGCCAATCTTCAAAGCAGGACTGTTGCTAAAGCTGGATCAGAGCACCTAAGTCTGAAAAACTTCAAAGGATGGAAACGCCTCCTCTCTGGGTACATGTCCCAGGGCTGCTCCACCTTTCCAGGGAAGGAGTTTTTCCCAACACCTCATCTGAGCTGACCAGGCTGTTAGATTGTCTTACCTACTGGAAAGACTCTGGCTCCACCCTCTCTGTAGCTGCCCTCCAAGTCACTGTAGACCCCTGCTAAATTGCCCCAGTCTCCTCTCCTTCACAACTAACCAAGCCAGCCGTCTCCACTTCTCCCTGTGGGCAATGTTCCCTCACTTCAACCAGCCTGGTGGCCCTGCTGGTCCTGTCCAGCTTCCAGCAGATCCAGGCTCATCCTGGAGGGGCTGTTCACACCCACCAGGTCCTGCTGAAAGGGAATGCTTGGAACCAGGACATGCTGAAATCAAACTCAGAAACAAGCTCCTGGTGTCTGCTCAAATGAGCCTTCAGAAGAACCTGGTTTTGGTGGATTTCTGAATGAGATGGGTCTGAGCCAGCTGGCAAGTGCCCAGCAGTGACAAGCAAGGCCTGCCCATGCCTATCTCCTTGCAACACTGACCTTCTGACCACTGAGGGCTGCAGGCCACTGCCCTGAACCATTTCCTCAGCCACATGAAGGAGCATCTTCCTGGGAGCAACAGTTTAGGGACATCACCAGCATGAGGCTGCTGTGTCCTGAGTCCTGGACCGTGTGGGGCTCTCCAGAGCAGCAGGCACCTCTCCACTGCCTCCTGGGCACTGCCCACCCCTTCTGGGGTAGGTCAGAGGGCTCAGCTGCTCCCAGATTCCAGAGGCAGTGTGGCTGGAACCCAGGGGAGCTGTTGGAGCTGGCTTGCTCTACCCAAGGCCAGCTCATCCGTCTTCACCTTGCTGGCACAGCTCACTGGCATGGAGAGGCGAGTGATGTGCTTCATTTAGATGGATACCAGGGAGCAGAGGGACTTTGCAGTGTTGTCCTGGGCATTTCAGCAGGGTCTGGGCTCCAGACCTGAGCCCTTGTGGGGCATTAGGCTCCCTCCTCTTCTCCCTTTTGTGGGACTGAGATGTGCTGAGCAGCCCATTCCTGCTCAGAGCTACTTGGTCCCCACTGGTTACTCCTCTCTGAAGGATCGTGTCAGATGCCCAAGGCTGTTCCTCTGAGGTCTGAAAGATTAGACTGGAAGTTTTATGGGTGGGAGATTTCCCAGGGCTGAGGTCAGAGACAGAAATGTAATGTCTGCCCAGCTCTGTTATACAATCTGCCGTTAAATAATCACTCAGGGTCACTGCGCCTGCCAGGCCACTGCAGCTGGTGGTGGGGCTGCATGGAAAACAGGCTGTGCTTTGTGGGATCACTGCCCACCAGACAAGAAGAAGAAGGAAAAGCAGCAATACACTTTTGGGCAGTCCCACGCTCAAGACCCTTCCCAGCCTTGGAGTTCCTCATTGCAAGGTACCTTTCAGTGACTGAGGCATTAATTTTGCAAGGGCATAAAAAAAAGCCCGATGTAAAGCCTGATGGTCGCAGCGTGGAGGTGGTTTTGGCCACTGTGAGGAAAGGCTGGTGTTTATCTGTGGGATGCTGTGACTAGAAGTGCGTGGGCAGGGTACTGTGTCTGTCACAGGGTTGCTGGTTCTCCACCAGGTCTGAGCAAGGTGGAGACCCAGCATCCATCCAACACAGCCCTGTGTCCCCCAGCCTTTGACTGCTCTCTGCATTTCATAAAGCTGCAGTGGAGCAAATGCTGGGGAGAACTGTGGACCCCCATGCAGTGCCTACCAGCATGTAGGGGTGGGCCAGTCCCACAGTTCCTGGGCACTGATTTCAGGTTGTGCTGCCCATCTGGGACTGACACCCATATAACAGCACTGTATTAATGATTTCAAAGGTGTGGCAAAACAATGTAGCCAAAATGGGAATGGATAGTGATGATGTGTGTTGGCTACAAGTAAGCAGTCACTCGGGAGCTGGATGATTTGTCCTAGGAAATACAGGCCAAATCCAGGAAAAGAAGCCATGCTGGCAGGGAGAGCTCATAAAGCAAAGCTGGGAAGCAGCCACACTGCACTCTGAGCCTGAGCCTCGCTGCCCTGGGGTTCCTGTCCTTGAGCATGCTTTCACAGCTAGCTAGCCTACTTCTGCTGGATAATTTCTTCCTAATAAGGGGTGTTGGCAGGCAGCTGTGCTCTCCTGAGGGTGAGGGAGAGCAGCTCAATAACAGCAACAAACTAGTGTGAGGCAGGGAGAGTTCCTTTTGTTTTCAGCTCCAAGGGTGAGTGTGAAATAGAAATGCTGGAGGATGACTGGATGGCACTAAGGAAGCTTGAGTTACCCCTCACTCATGTTTTGCCCCCCTGAATGCTGTGCTGGCAGAGCAGGGCATCAGCACGGTGGTGATGGAGAAAAGATGCTTTAGGCTTCTCAGTTTTGCTCTACATCTCCCTGCACAGAGGTCAGAGTACCACAAGCAGCAGGGCTGTGCCAATAATTGCCCAACAGCCAGAGGCCAGCACCGGTGGGGGATTACTGGGGAGCTGGGATGATGTGAGGTGTCTTGTGCACCAGCCAAATATTTCTCATCTGGCATGACAGCCCATGGCAGTCCTGGTGCTCCTCTCCTTCCCAAATGCTGCTCGAAAAGTGCCTTCTGCTCCATCTATGACATCCCTGCTCTGGGACAACCGGGACCCCAGAGAGCTCTGAATGGGACTGGTGGGCCTGTGGTAGGAGAGTGCCTCTGCCAAATCACTTGCACACACGCACATCTCAACTGCCCCAGATAACAAGCTGCCCTCCTGTACTACCCATAGAGTCTGTCACTCAACCCCCAAACACTGCAGAGCCATGGAACAGAGCATGCTTGCCTGTCCCTGCTAGCAAGCTCTTCAGTGCCCCTTCGGTGCTCCCTGTGATCTGGGGAGGCATTCTAGCTTATTGCAGCTATTTTGTTATTTAATCCCTCTTGATTTTCCTTAACACCTTTCCAAATGTTTTAAGCTAGCCTTGTTGTGCTCATCCACTGTTTAATCTGAGGTCAAATGATTGTATCTTAATCCCTGGATCTCAAATGAATTTGCCTCTGGTTTGGGCAGCTAACCCTCCAGCCCTCTGCTACAGCCAGGCCTGCTGTCTCCCTCTCCTTCTCTCATTATTTCTCTCTTTCTTGTAAGTTAACATTACTTGAGATGAACAAAACAAGTCATATCCCCCTGATTAATATTTCCAAACAATTTCATGTTTTTCCTTGTGATGAGCCCCTGGAGCCTTCTCTTGTCAAACGAGCTACATGTGATCACAGCAAGGGCAATACTGTGCTTTTTGTGGCTGACTGGGTGCACAGAGCAAGCTGACATGGAGCGAATGTACAGGACAGCACCTGAATCCTTTGTACAGTCTTCCTGGAGGACCCAGACATGTTCTCCATTAGCAGTCCCCAGCAACCTGGCACTGTGCTTTTTCCAAAGGACATGTCCACCTCGGTGACACTGGAGTGGCAGGTACCAGTCCCCATGACCATGCCTTCCCCACATTCCTCTGCCTTTCCCAAACTCTCTCCCCTGTCACGCAGAGAGGTTTTGGGGCAAAACAGCCTCCGAATCAGACTGACGCAAATGCAAAGATGACAGGATGCTGATCTCAGCCCCATCCTTTGGGTGCTGCTAAAACTTGGCTTCTCATTGTACTGCACTTGCCCACAGCTGTGCTGCAAGTTCCCTGCTCAGACACAAACAAAAAGGCTTGGAGAATGTATTAGATTAAATACAAGTTTTTGACAACATGTTCTAAATTTTACTGAGAGTAGATTAAATCTAATTAAATTCACACATTATTCCAGACAGGTAAAATGGCACATTCTACTTTGTGTCCTTAGCTTGGCCCAGAGGCCAGACTAAGAACCTCAGAGACTGCAGAACTGGTCTGGCCCTTCATGTCTAGACTCAGACCCAGACTTCGCTTCAATATTCAGGACTGGATCCAGACAGTTTCATTGGTGTGTTAAGGATCATAACCCAGATCCAGGTCTGGTTTGGAGCACAGTAGTAATCCCAGCCCTGAAGGGTGTGCTGACCCAGGCACCCTCTCATAAGGCCACAGTGCTGGTGGGAGAAGCTCACTTGGGTTTCCTGTTTCTTGGATGCTGCTGTCACTGGAGCTCACACCCGCACCTGTTGGCAGCTCCCATGTCTTTGAGGTGCCCAAGTGGTTGGTGAGGGAGCCTGTGCTAGTCCAAAACCTCTCCTGAACTAGGCACAGAGAGTTGCGGCTAAATTCCCTCTAAATCCATCCTGTCCTGATAGAGTGATGGGCTAATGCAACCCCATCCAAGGGTGTGTATGGGACCCTGAGGTGGAGGGATTTGTCTTCCAGAAAAGGACAATGAGAGTTGCAAGTCAGATTCTGCTGTGGGAATCCACAGCAGAATCCCTCTTTTAAGCACAACTCATCTCTATGCAGCTAGTCTGGACTTGCACAGGAAGAAAGCATGTGAAACTCTGGGAATAAACCACCTACTTCCTTGTGAGGACCTGTAAATCTCACCCAGCAAGCCTGTCATGTAGCTGCAAAGGACACAAATAAACTCTGCTGTGTAATTAGCACCCTTTGTATGCCAGGGCAATCATACTTAACCCCACATGCAACCAGGAATCAGGTCTGCCTGCACAGGGCTCAATGCCAAATACCCTCCCTGGGTGTTAAAGCTGCACTACTTCCCTCAAATCAGTATCACATGGTGAGGCTTTGCCCCATGTGGGAGGACGTGGCCTGTGATATGAAAGATCAGTTATGCTGCAAAGACAGATATCCTCTTCTAAAACCTACAGCCAGTGCTGATAGGAGTGTTTCCTAGTAAATACCTGCAGCACACTAAGCTAAATCAGTCTTATTTTATTACAATAAAGAATGAAATCTCTACACAGCATTTTTCCTAGTGAGACTCTGAGCTGTCACTGAGGTCTCTCTGATGGTGGAGTACTTTTCATCCCAAATTGTCTCTGGTAACCTGATTTCTGCAGGATGCACCATGCAGAAAAAGCATACTGGTATGGGCTGAAGCTCTGTCACCAGTCGATCGCATGGGCACCACTGGAGACTCCTCCTTCCTTGAGCCTTGCTGTTTGTAACAGAGAAACACACACAGCTCTGTGCCTTGGAGGGAGGCTGCACGACTTTGGGGGCTGGTGTGATTATCTCTGCAAGACATCTGATGGGGCGGCACATTGACAGCTGAAGCAATTCCTCTTTTTTTAGGACAAAGAAGCTTGAAGCCTGGGGGTGTGGGAAAGCACTTTCTCTCTGGTGGCCTTGGTGGCCTAAGGGGTCATTGGGAAATGCCTTCCAGGGGACCCAAAACCAAGAGGTGCTTCTCATTTTTAGAGAGGCAGAGGAGGCAGGACGTAGCTAAGCAGACCTGTCCTCCAGGTGAGGCTGGAAGAATGTGCTGGCTGTAGGCAGAACCACCTCTGCAGTGGGGCAGCCCCAGGGTTTGCAGGTGTACTGGCACTCTAAGCAGCACTGCAGATTTCACAGGAGTCAGTATCAAGCCCAGTCTTTAAAGGCAGCCTCATTTTGTGCTCTTGCATAACAGGGAGATGGAAATCACACTGTGTTTATACAGACTGAAATGATAGGAGTCTGCTTGAGCAAACGCTTGTACATGAAAGCCTCAGCTGGCTACAGAACTCCATTTCCAGGAGCTGAAGAAAACCACTTAGCCATTTAAACCTCTGAAGACTTCAATCACCCTTTAAGATGAAGACAGAGTAGGGTGGGGGAGACAGCTCCCATTTGCACCTGCAAGAGTGCCGCCTCCAGGGGCAGGCTGCGTACCACCAGCCCAAAGAGCCCCCCTAACAGGTACCACGCAGGCAAGCTTGGCTCCTGAGCCTGCCCGCTGTGTCACAGTCCCTCAATTTAAACCCTTAATCCTGCAAAGATTGTGCAATAGCTCCTTCAGGCTGAGAACGGATTATGCCCATTTCAAAGGTATTTGGCACTCTGGCTTCGCTGGGAGAAACCAATGAACTGGCTCAACCCCTCCTGCAATAGCACCTGTGGGCAATTCTTGCAGCTGGTGCCTAGCAACTTGCTCTGAGCTGCTCTCACAGCTAAAATTCAATGTCATTTCAGCCTTCCTTCCCAGAGGAGCAGCTCCTGACTCATCATCAGGGAAGAATGAGAAGTGTTTCCCACTCGGCTTGCTATAAATTAGTGATATAGTAAGGGCTGCTCTCCCTCTTGAGCAGGTGTCCTGCAGCCAGCTAAAAAGGCATCTCCTCTCAGCATGTGGGACAGCTTCACGTTCAGAAGATTTAGTAAATTGCATTTTTCCCCTCCTCCTTCCCAACTTGTTTTCTGCTCCCAAATGCCTCTCTGCTTTCTTGGAGCTCTCTGCAGAAGAACCAGGCTTGGATCCATGCCGTGTCTCACCTTGGCTTTCCTTGGGTGAGCCCCAGGTTGTGCAAACACACGCAGGTAGATACAAGCTTTGGGCCGTGCTGAGCACTCTCTAGTGACACACAGCAACTTTTAGATCACCTGTGTGACAAATGAAGGTGCCTCTGAATCTGAGAGAGATGCCCTTGAGAAATGGCAAACATCATAAAAAAACGCAGAGGCAACCAAGATTGCCTGTTTACGGGGCTGAGATCTTTGCAGATGCGGTGAGACAAACACCAACCTGCCCGGGCAGGACCAAGCAGTACATTTCTGCATGTGGGCAGGGCACAGGGATGGGTGATGGGAAGAGGGAGCCAACCGGAGGATCCAGCTGCAGAGTGGGCAGGGGCTCGGAGAGCAGCACGTTCTCTGGCACCATGCACAGGGGAGGAGCGCTCCAGCTGGGAGAGGTGGGAAGCTCTGAGGAGACGAAGTCCATGAGTAGTAGGGCTGTGGTGTCACAGCCTGAGTGTTTTTCAGAGAAAAGCAAGACAAGGTGCCTTACAGGGCTTTTCAGAACTCTGGGGGGGGGGCATATGTTTGCCTCTGGAAGCAAGTCTGAGATCCAGATGCATTTCCAAGTGGGAGACTATTAGGACATCTCAGACTTGTCTGAGTGGCACAGTTCCTGTGGTGGTGTCTGCTGGGCAAGTCCATCACTGCAGAGCTGACTTCTCATTGCCTTCCCAGTCTTATTCCTTGGGAAGCCCTGGGTGGTCCTAGTGACTGCAGCCAAAGGGTTGGAGGTGCCTTATTGCTGTGAATAGTGGGGGCTGGCAGAAGAACCACCTTTATCTTACAGCTGTCTGTCCTCAGCTCCTGACTGCTTGCAGCCCTGTGTAGTCTAGAAGGAAGACTGAGAATCACCTTGTTTGGACTCCACAGCCTGAAGCAGATGAGGAAAGAGGCTGGTAAGTGCAGAACCACCAATGGAGATGTATCCAGCTCATCCCAGGACCCTCAGCCCTTTAAGATGGGACATGGCTCTGTTCCCAAGCCCAGGAGTGGTGCTCAGCATGCTTCAGGTGGGTGTTTGGCTGAAGGATTTGTCATTATACAGGTTACCTTAAACAAATCCAATTGCATTGCACAGGTTAGCTGATAGGGATAGAGAAGCATTTTATATGGAAAGGCATAAAAACCTCGAGTCTGATCTGACCTTGTCTAGTGTCCAGTGGGTGCCTCTGCCTGCATGGGTCAGGAACTGGCCAGTCCCCTGCCATGCTGTGATGTCTGAAGGCCAGGAAACATTGTGGTGGCTCTGTTTCCCCTTCAGCCACAGGAGGGGACAGTTCTCCAAGCAGAGTGGCTGAGTAGCCTCTGCCTTGGGTGTAAATGGCACTGGTTGTGTTGACTGGCCCAAAGTGGGTTTGGGACAAGCTTGGGACAGCAGAGCTTTTTAAAACAGTATGGCCAAATCCAGGAGAAGATGCTGTCTGTAGAACAAAACTGTGCCTTTGCTGGCAGAGGGGACTACTGACCCAACCCGCACTTGTGAGTTAGACATGTCCTTCTGCTCTGGCAGTCCCTTCCCACCACAGCCTGCCTGCAGTTTGCACAGTTGTTCCACAAGCTCCTTTCAGGCCAAATCCACAGCTAGCTGAAGCAGCTTCAGTCCTAACTCTTGCATAGCCTGGCTCAGAGGAAAGTGTCGTGTAGCCGGGAGTGTGGTGGTGATTTGCAACCGGGAGATGACATGTTAATAGCAAAATCCTCAGCTCAGAAAATGTCTCCTTCCTTCCTGCAAACCTAAGAGGACTGAATTAAAGCTGAGCTTTCTGACCTCCAAGTTCTTGACTTCTGCTCTCACATTACAGGAGCAGCAAATCCTGTTGCATGAAGCAGAAATCTATCTGTCTGAACATGCACTATTTCAAACTCTTCCCTGGCAAACTGTTCCAGACTTGATCAGAAACAAGTCTGTTTACTAACAACAGAACTAGGAAACTTCTTTAGTATTGTGGGTCTTTTTCCCCCACAGTTTTTTTAATTTTCATATTGAGCCGCTGAAGCTTAAATCTGTCAGCTAACAGTGTTTCTAGCTTTCAGTGTGTTTTACTTCAATGTGTTTTACTTTGCCTGTTTGCCTGTATATCTCTACATGCAGAGTGTGCTCTGCCTTCTTTCTGATGGAAAGAAAGGTTTTCCTTGACTTGGGATGAGGTTAGAAGGACAGGCAATAGCACACCAATTTTCACCAAATAAGTAGAGGGTATCAAACTGCAAAAGAACAATGGCAATTTTTTTTCAGTAGTATTCATACTAACACTTTTGTACAAAGGGGCTGAATCCTGCTTCCATTTATGCTGATGTAAATCTAGAATAATAAAATTCTTTTACAGAATTTCATATTTTATTAATCCAAGTGTCAGAACTAGAATTGAATATATAATAATAGTTTGATCATTGTATCCTTGTGCAGTTCTCAGTGTGATTATAGCATCTTCTAGACATATTAATGTCTTTCCAGTGTGTTTAGGTGTTAACTTTCTGACACAAGAACTGCCCAGTGTAAGCACAGCAGCAAGTGTGATGGATCCCAGTAGTAGGAAAACCCTTATATGCTACTTCAGTAGTAAAGGGTGGAAAGCAAGGTTTGGAACACACTTCCAGGTGCCATGATAGTTGGGTTTTACTTTGAAGATCTCTTTTGAGCTTTCTCTCCACCTGTTTAGGCAGAACCAAACTCTGTTTGCTTTTTTAAGTTGCAGTCACTCAAAAGCTGCATCTCCAGGATGAAGTAAGTTAGCATAGTTCAAGACTTTGAGAAAAATCATTTCTACAGACAACATTAGTATGGTGAGGTGGGTTTTTGCAAAGCTGTTGTCCATTTCACACGATGACTTATTGGACAGTCTGTTGTTGTAACAAGTGCCAAGATCAAACTGACCAGTTTGGTTGTGAAGGTTTACGAGACCTTTAGCAATAGGAAACTTCACAGACTTGGAAAACCTTGGTGCAGTGAAGGCAGCAAGCTTTAACAGTTGGCCTCTTAAAAGGCCGCAGCAAGGTCAGCTTGGGTTTAGAGGAACAACGCTCTTGCAAAACCCAGGAATGTTTGGTCCCTTGGGAACTTGTGTGGCTTGTTCTGATGCAGAGCCGTCCTCCCTCCCGCGTGTCCCCAGCCCCAGGGCAGCAGCAATGCCACAGGGAGTCAGAACTCAGGAGCGAGCGAGAACTCCGGAGGAGTGAAGGCCGCCTTCCTGGCTGCCCCCATGGCCCAACAGAGGTGGAGGAGGGAAGTGAGGGCCCCGCAGGGTGAGGGTGCAGCGCAGGTGGACAGAGCGGTGACTGTCTGGCTGCGCGGAGCGAGCCGTGCTGGGCCAGCGGCCGATGGAGCGCGGGATCCCCGAGGGACGCGCACCCTGAGGAGACATTTCGTGTGGGCTCCTCGCCCTGTGCCCCACGCGCTCCGCGCGCCGCAGCCCCGCTGCTCCCAGTCATCGCGGCGCGGGGCCGTGAAGGAGGCACCCACCCGAGGTCCGGGCCGGGCTCAAGCTCTACGTCTGTGTGTCTGTGTTTGTCTGTGTGCGCGTCTCCCTCTCCCTCAGCATTTTCCCCTCAGCTCTCGGGGGGCTCCGGCCCCGCCCCACCCCCGGGCTGAGGGCGCGAGGCCCCGCCCCCCGCGCGCCGCCGGCGGGGCGATAAAGGTCTCGCGGCGGAGCTCTGACGTCACGGGGAGTTAATTTTAAACCCGGACAAGATGGCGGCGAGGGACGCGGCGCGGCGCGCGGGCCTGGCCCGCCACCGGCCCGACCCGGCAGGTAACGCGGCCCCGGGGCCGTGGCGGCGGCGGCGGCTGCAGGGCCGTGGCGGCGGCTGCGGTGGCGGGGCTGTGCCGGTGGGGGCCCGGCTCGGCCGGGGCGCGGCGCTGGACTGGGCGGGCGCGGCGGCGGCGGCACCGCGCGGCGCCGGGGGAGGCCCCCCGTGCCTCCCCCCTCCTCAAAATGGCGGGGGCGGCTGCCTGCCCCCGAGGGTGGGAGGCGGGGAAGCCGCGGCGGTTGCCCCTCGGACCGGCGCGCGGCCGCTCCTCGGCGGGGTCACCCCGCTGTCCCCGCGCTGCGGCCGGGGCCTCCCGCGCTGCGGAGGGTAGCCGGAGCCGGGGGGAGCGGGGGCGGCCCGGGGGCCGTTGTGGGTGACCTTATTCCCTGCTGTGGTGTGGCCGGGCCGTCCGCCCGGGTGCGCCTCGGCCCCGTGAGGCGCCGGGGTTGGGGGGAGGCCCGGAGGGGCCCCCGGGCCGTGGGGCGTTCGCCTGGCACAGTGTCGGGAGCGGAGCCAGGCAGCCCGGCTTTCCCGGAGCCGCGTCCGCTGAAGGAGGGAGCAGCTCCGGGAAGGAGGGGACTGACCCGCGCCGGTCCGGCCCCCGCATGGACCCGGTGCACTCCGCTGTCAGCGCTGCTCTCGCTGGTAATCTATCCTCTGGTGGCGATGGGACCTGGCTTCGGCGCGGTGTTTTAGCCCCGGGCGTGCTGGAGCCTGCGCAGTGTGGTTTTTTTTAAGTATGGTTATTCCTCAAGAACAGTTTAAAAGCTGAGAGCTCGTAGCAGTGTCTCTGCCGTACGCTGTGTGAGAGGGGGCACCTGGGACTTGTGAGGGTTGTACACATGAGTTGGATCATGTGAGGTTTTTAGCGCTGCGCTGGAACGCCGAACTATATTAACATATTTGTTGTGTAACTCTCACTTAATTTGGAAGCAGCACGATTGGACTGGGCACAGTTTAAACAAAACCCAGCAGATGCCATATGCCACTATTGGTTTCAATTGCTTGATTTGCAAGCCAGCTAGAGACTGGGAAATCTAACCACACTATAAACTAGGAGATGCAGAGTGACAGCTCACCTGGCTTGATTTACCGGGAGGAAAAAGCAGTCTTTCAAAGCACGTGGAAAAGTTTGATTGTGTTTGGCAGCATTGCAATTTTAATAATTTAAGAGTCCAGAGATCGAAATTGAGGATATGATACTGCTTTACTGCTCAAGTGCTGATTTCTCTCCCTCCCAGCACTGCTTGGTTTCCTTTGGTGGTTCTCTTGTGTTTTTGCCACTATGTTGTTTAATAATCTCAAAGCATTAGATTATTGCATAACTTTCTCAGGGTCATAAAAGCACCAGCACACTTGTAATAAATGACCTTTAATTAGCTATGTCATCATTAGTGGTGGAAACATGCACATTTTGCTTGTGTACTTTAGTCATGGAATTACTTTGGTGATAGGGTGTGCATGTACAGCTGTGGATGATCTGTGCTTGCCTGCAGAACGGCCTTCTGTACAGTGAAATAAAGCAGAGTGGTAGGTTGGAATAGTTACAAGAAGAGAAATGTAACAGGAGAGTCCTGTAACTCCTCTTGTACCATTACTAAGTGTTGCTTAACAGCTGTTATGTTCTAACTTACCCTAAAGTCACTAATGGTGTCACAGCACCTCCTCAAATAATAGCAATAGCTCTTTGTTTTTTCAACTGAAATGATTTTGAAAGCAGTGAGTGGGGTTGAGGAAGGCTGTGTTCTTTCCTTTTCATGTTCACTTGCTTGCAACTTAAAAATGTTTCTGAAATAGTTTGGGCACAGAACTGTTTTACTTGAACTATTGTAAAAGGGTTCCTTTAAATGTGACGGTCTCTCCTGGTTTAGGAGGCCAGGCAGCTCTTGTTAATGTTGGATGGACAGGAGTGCTTGAGCCAGGTCTTGAAGGAGCCCTGACACTTCTTAGGTACCTTGTGCCGACTCCAGTCCCTGTGGTTTGGTTAAATATCAGTGATCAATGTTTGCTTACTGATTGTACTTATAAAGTACCACTGGCTGGAGAAAGTTACTGTGATAGATGAGGCATTATTTTCTCTTCTTGTCCTAATAATAATAGGGACACTACCTCATGCTGGTAGCCTGAATAAAGCGGGGAAGAAGGGCTGGGGATTTTCCTCCAATGTAATGGAAGAGCACTTATCTCCTGATGGCAGTGTCACATCCTGTCCAACTGTTGAGTTTTGCCTAAACTTCAAAACCAGGTGTAATCAGCAGATGGA